GCTTGTAAAATTTGAAGGCTTTGCTGTTTAATGATGAGCCACTACCATCACTCTATGAGTCTGTTTGGATAACACTAGCCCTTAATAATGCTACACTGTTATTTGGATGTGTATACCTGCCGTCAACCTTTCGCACCCTTGAAAATGGAACACTTCGGAGTTCCATGATTTATACTTCTGAGTTACCTATTCGGCATAAACTAATTGGAAACGATTTCAACTTGGCAAACCTTTCATGGACTGAACATAAAGCCACCAAGAAGCAAGCTGAACTTCTATCTTGCCTACATGCTGGAAGATGGACTCAATTTGTAATAGCCCCCATACTAGGGCCTAACACCTTAGATCTTATCTTTACTTGTGGCCCAACTGGTGTTACTATCGGCATATTGGACTGCGTTTATGGCAGAGGACATAATGTTGTTAGTTGCAAACTAAATGTCACATTCACATCTGACACTCCAAGGAAAAGTGTGCAGTCCCAAAAGAATACACTGGGAGAACTTTTCTATCATAGCTCATTCCTCTGATTGGAATAATTTTTTCTTATTTTCTGACCTGTAAGTGCCCTTTTAAGCATTCGACCAGACCGTGAACCACTGCATTGACACGATGTCATCCGATGCAATTAATATCACTGACCAATTGTACCTTCATAAAAAACAACATCGGCGCAACACAAATAGTCTCTAAATGTCTTGAGAAGACAGAAGATTTAGCAGTGCTATTTCGATTGCAGTGACTGTTAACTAGGAATGAAAACCGAAAAGTTCTTCGTCTCCAGAAAGAAGAGACGGATATGTTAAATATCTCTAACAAACTGTCGGAGATAACGCGATTGCTAAAAATAGGGCGGTAGCCAACAAAACCAGCCGTTAAATCTTTTACTGCGAATTTTCAGCGGACGTTATCGAAGGCTGCGCGGCGATCTCATATTAGCGTATCGGATATTGAGTGACCCCAACCATGTATGCCGCCATTTGCTGAAACTTAGCCACAACACGCAGCTCAGGGGTAACTGCTTAAAGTTGGAGGAACAATATAGCCGTCTAGAGTGTCGACGGAATTACTTTTCCCTTCGGGTTTGCAAACCATGGAACGCACTCCCAGACTCAGTAGTATCCTCTCCTACCCTGGATGTTTTCAAAAAACGATTAGATGTTGCTCTCAGCTCCCAACATTTTGTTACCTAAGCTCCTCTGTTGTGGATTACGCCAAGCATGTTTTCAACAGGACTAATTTATCAAATGGACCTAAATGAGCGACCATATTTTATTTTCTCACTCCTTACCTCAACTATCACTGCGCCCCAGTGTCTTTCTGAATGTTTACGCGCGATACTTCTTTTTCATTTTACACTGATGTTAATTATCAAAGTATTCATCTCGTCAGACGTTCGATAGATGACCAAGACATATTTTAATTGCGTCATATTCACCGCTATCATCCTACGGGACGTGTCAAGCACTTGCTTTTATCCCGTGATAAATCATTGTTCATTGTACTCCTGATGGGGTGCCTATTGATACCCCTGCTGCTGTATCGTAAGCGTTCAACCGCTATTCCACTGACATTTTCGCAGGTACGAACGTAGTACTGGCAGAACAACCCGCACTGCATACTGGCCAGTGTATTTTTAATATTGAACTGAACATTAGCTTAATTAGGCACCAAATTGTCATTTTAAGAGTTGCCTTTCATCCGGCTCAAGTTGGAATACTTTCGGCTCTTCTGAAGTATGGCGTTGACGACATTTCATTATTGTTACTGAATTTATTTACTGCCCCAATGAAATCTGTTATCTATCCTGAGAAATAGTAACTGACAATAATAATGCCATGATATAAAACCGGGTCTAGGCAGGGTAGTTACCCAATTTATGAAACGCACTGTACAGAAAGAAATCATTGACTTCTTAACATTAAGCAATCTTTAGTTCAGTATGGTTTTCTCCAAAAGCATTCAACTACTACCTGTCAGCTAAAGTTTTTGGAAATTTAACCAATTCAATCGACTGCGGCAATTTTTGTACTGTTGTTCACCTGGATACTAACAAAGCTTTTTTGCCAAGTTCTACGCCAACCGCTTATTCAAGAGCTTTTCAACTGTGGTATAAGAAGCTCACTGTTGGTCTAAATAGATTCCTATCTCACTGGCAGGAGGCAGGTGGTCAGGATAGGCTATCGGGGACAAGGGACATTACTAGTGGTGTTGTACAAGAAGGTGTACTCGGGCCTATTCTTTTCCTGATATTCATAAATAATCTGTTTTCTGTAATCATTAACAGCGGACCCTACCTGTTTGTTGATTATATGAAAATTGCATATACCGCGGAACCACAAAGCTCTAATTTTATTTCTGCGATACAGAATTACTTGATCTGTATGGAAGTGTGGTGCTCCAGTTCCTCAATGAGCTTCTCGACGATTAAGTGCAGTATCATGTGTTACGGATACTGCGTTCCATTAGAAATTCGTACTCTGCATAATCTTCCGCTTCCTAGGTGATTCTATCTTAGTTTTAAAGAACAAATTAAGCATATTGCGACTAAAGCACGATAAACCATTGGAATTTTGAGCCGCTTCCTTATAACAACTGATGTTGAATTCCTAACTTTCACTCTATGCCCGGCCTATTCTGTACAATCGGTTTCAGCAACATAAGAAAGTGTGATAAATTAGAAACCGAAGCAACTCGGAGATCCTTTACAAGGACTTGTAGGTTGCACATCTATCCTATCTTACATAGCTAGATGCAACCCGCTAAATCTCAAGCCATTGTGGCTTCGAAGGTTGAAACTAAATCTACGTCTGCCTTACAAATTGTTCATCGACAAAAAGTTTTGCTTATCGGAATTCCATGAGCATCCACCATACAATCTGAGGAGCACAGATTGTGTAATAACAGCCCCCCCCCCCCAATTTATCGCATGCGACCCCGATGTAACTCTATTACGCTTACATATCCACTGCTATGGAGTAGATTGTCACAGGCTATCAGCTTTTCCTCCATTTGGGCCTATAAAATGCAACCAAGCAACAACATATATGTAAAAAAATCTCAAAGGATTGTTTTGCCTCGATTGTGCTGATGAATATATGTGTGAATGCGGACCTGATAATATCTAAACGTCTATCTTCCGCACCCACATTTCCATACTGTTCGATTCCCCTCTTGCACTTTCGTCTCTTCAAAGATTTATTATTCAGATTGATGAAACCACTGCATCGTTTCGTTCCGAATGGTCAAATCGCTTTTTCGTTAGAACATACATTATTCCTTCCATTGTGACAAAAAATACGACTTCATTTTACCCCTCTTTCCTGTTCTACACATGCCAGAATGACATACTCTATTATTTGTAGCATTCTCGGTTATTTACGTCACCGTTATTTACTTGTAATGCACCACACAATATGTCTGTGGCCACTAATCAATCCCCTCCAGAGGGTCATGTCTCCTATTATCACGATCTACATAATTCTTGTTATTATTGCTCACTTTACTCCACTCTTCTTTCACTGTTGGTCACGACTTGGCCTATCTCCTATGGTGACACAGTGAAGGTTTTAAGTTGATCAGTTCGCCTACGCAAGATAGGAAAATCCACTGGCGGCAACAAAAAGTGCTATGCTCGGAAGAGTTAAATGGGCCGTATTGACCACCCTAATTGCATCTGAAAAGTGCCCGAAAAGAACAAATGTTAAAACGATAATGGACTGCTTGATTTTAGTCAACACCAAAACTCAGCCGGATGGACTGAATCGCGGATGAAACCTTTAAGGCGATTTCCACGCATTAAAGTTGGTCTCTAGGAGGCGGTTCTATGAATGACCGTATTACTTTAATTGAACCTATTCTCTTTAAAATCTACTGCGGCTCTTCCTCTAGTTTAATGCATTTGTTCCAATCTGTGGCTGTAATGGTGTAAAATGATTGCATACTCCGGATCATGCCGGACTGGGCGTGTCATGAAACCGAAAATCTTAATCTTAGTTCCTTATTCGACTCTTACTTGTCTAACACACAGCTTTATCCACACCTGGGATGAGTACGTCCCTAAACGATGGCTTATTGTATCTCACAGGATCTCTTTTGTCCACTTGGCTTCTATCTGCAACCATTTCCTTGGTTTCATTCACTGTCGACACCTTTTAGCCATGCCGCTGCATTCACAGTCAAGCCTACGAACCACCGACTGCTGATTTGTGTACTGATACAGCGGCACACATTTTTCGGTTGTCTGGCCCTGTTGAGTAGGATGGTCTTCTTCGCATTCTTGTGCTTTAGGGTGATCTCATACGCCGTCTTCGTGATATGACGTGAACCTGTTCCGACGGAACGTTTACACTGGGCTCCTTTCTAGTAGAAGTGCGCCTTCTTCACCGCCTACATTCACCCATGAGTTTTTCCACGTTAACGCGGTTCCCGGCTTTCATACATAAGAAGCAAAGTTTTCTCAATTACAATAGCTCATTCGAGCTACCAGTGCTCTCACATTCACGAAGGTGAATCGATACGATGAAAGTGCCCCGCGAGCCACTCGTTATGTATTCTTTTTTCCTCCACACTTATGACTCGCAATGTCCCTGCTTCTTAAAACGAACTATGTTCCATCTCCCGACCGCCGTCATGCACGATCACCTCCCTGCCACTTTCAAACAATGGGCTCCGCCTATGTTACTTTTGCCTGATGAATGAAGACCATCCAAGATCCAGATTAGAGGTCAGCGATTCAGTCCAGTCAACGAAATGAACGACCTACATTTGGCGACGTTGACAGAGCTGACACCGCAACTTATTTCCTTAGGCCACCAAGATTCTATCACTGGATAGCAGCCAGATTTCTGTCGACTTGTGTTATCTTCAAATTTCTTTCATTTATTTTTCTCGCGCGATCACCAAGTCGGTAGTGTCACGTACTCTTAACCCTGCGTTATCAACCACTTTGTTTCCTTCGCGTATCGACCTAGTCTATGTGCATCAAATAGAAGGAAGGTCACTGTGCGAAATCTATATTAATTGTTAGACACACTGTGTAGAACAAAGGCGCTACCACAAAGGAATTGCATTGCTGCGGGTGCGGTGGAAAATATGCCTCAGTGTCTCACATTGATGCTTCCGGGTGTGATTGCTTTGCTTCTCATTCTTGCACGTTATCAGTATAGTCTGATTCCGCTTCTCATGATTCGTTGCTAATTTCCCAATTCGATGTGGAGGCCTCATCCTTGCGCATATTCCCATCCATATCCAACGAGGTCATATCTTTCCGTCTGTTTTTCCTGTCCGCATAATCCGCGCCTTTGTTCCAGCAGAATCGAAAAACCTCCCTGTCACAGAGGCCATACAGCAAAAATACCATTGTGCCCTGTGGTATCATAGGAGTTTGGGTAAAACAGAAAATGAGACGATTTAAGTGACCTGCTTTGTACCAGACATTACTGGTAGCATTGCAAATGCATGTCTGAACGATCCCCAAATATTCGCTTCTCTTCTTCCAATTTGTCTTGTAACCTTTGCATACTACCTAGTTAAGGTCCATATATTTTCAACTCAACCATTTCCCAATGCCAGTCGGTATCTACATCGTTGAGTCCACAGTACTTCATGCGACGCGACTTTAATAATGCATGGCAGATATGTTTCCTCATCAGCATGTATGTTAAAAACAGAACTCACCTGTATTGAGATACAAGCAAATGCTGCATACGGCAGGTACGGTATAGAGAAATTTGTGGAAAGCAGAATGGCCATCCAGGATGCTGTGGAGAAACCGATGAGGATGTTCATGCGTTTTATTTGACCCCTGGTACAAGAGAAAAAGGTGCCTTGTAGCCTCTAACTCCGTTCAACTCATCAACGGACTAAATGTGTCATTAACTTACCTTGATGAAAGGAATAGAATAGGTGAAATGAGAAAACTCCGAATGGCTACTGTGTTTACGATTAGTGAGTGGAACGCTTCGATAGACCTGAGAAGGCCGTCCTGTCATTGACGCTCCCCATGGCTCCTCAGCGGTGACCAGGATCTCCCCGTGTACTGGTGCAGATGATTTTACAGTCTCCCTCTTAAAGTGAGTTACACCGATTCCCTATTATTAACCTGTATCATGCGAACATCTTTTTCGATTATGGTTTTCTTCGAATCCCTATCTATATAGAATTGATGTGCTCCCAGTTCACTACGTTGTCCAATTGACACAGACTGTCCTTGTACTCCATCTCGGCTTGCACCTGTTTCATTCGACTGCCTCTTGCATTTGGTTTACGAAATTTCGTCGACTAGCATGATGCTTATACTTATTCTGGTTAGCTCAGTTGGTCGCCAAACCATTTCCTCAAAAATAGTTAGTACATACCTGGATGGACTCATAGCATCTTAAGATCGCTTGCGATTTGATTGGTGGGAGCGTGTCTCCGGGTTCCTACCTTGCACTCTGATGACAGTCCACGTGCATAGAGGTGGAGCATATCTGATCCTGTATCACAGCTGATGACCAGGTACAGCGGCCCACTGTCATCACTCAAAACTCAATGACTCATGTTACTTGTTAGAGACTAGCCGTCTGGTCGATTCCTAGCACTTCGAAATGAATGCATGCAACCGGTTTCAGTAGTCTGAACTGGTGGTTCGGCATTTTTCGACCATGAACCTCCTCAACGACCACAGCAAGGGATTCTCCAACTATACATCTGTACTTCATCCGTTCTAAGACATTCTGTGAACAACCGGTCCTTTATAGACGTCCCTCTGTGTTAGGGAACCACATTTATCGTGCACTGTCTGTAGCCAAACACCATGCCGAGGAGTTCTGCTCAATTCACTAACGTATGTACTTTGGTACCCTGCGTCGACCAAGAGTCTATGGGGGGAGTGGCATTAGTGTGCATTCACCACTGTGAGTGGAGTTCATCAAGGTCGCTCGTTCTATCTCTCATATCCTCAACATTGTGAGCAAGAGTGATACTATTCTGTCTTCTTTAGTTTATGTCAGTTGATCTACTACCAAAGGTAGAGTACTCGGACAATATGGCTCTCCTTATGCTAAACCTAACTGTTGTGCAGGTGACAGTGAACGGACCGTACGCACTTCGCATCTCCAAATCGCAACACTGTTCCACAAGGCATTTCCTACTCTCACCGAGCAGCCACTTTAGATGATCGACCGTACACCTATTTAGGCCATTTCATCACAACTATAAATACATGGCGGGATTGTTGCATGCATTGGTGGGACAAGGATGGCGTGGATTATGTATGAAGATGGCTAGGCCTAGGTTCATTAATCCAGAGCAATGTGACATGTCATACTGCGGTCGATATTACTGTACCATCCAGGGACATGACCATTGTGCGTTGAGTAAATCAAGAGGTTGGTCTTTTCTGAATGCTATTGCGTTCAATCCTCCTTAATCCTCGTGCCAGCCTATCGCTTTCTTCGTCGAGCGTTATTTCCGCTCCCTGGAAACGATTGAAAAGTGTGTCGCAATGCACAACGAGTGACGTGAAGGAGCATGAAGAAGGCAACCTTAAGCTTAGCATCCGTCCAACCAGTCCGCCTTCCTGGATGGGGACTACGCGTCTCGGATTGCCAGTGGTTAGAAACGCTGGTGGTTATGGCAGGCAACAGACATCACTGACAACAGTGTTGTTCAACCGTCTTATTCATTACTTAACGTCTCATCGGACATAGAAACACCAAAACAAATCTAACAACGGTGTGTGCAACCCGAAAAATCTTTTTCTCAAGTGGCATTTCTTTTCCCCTTTTTTCGCTATGTTCTGATGCCACCTTCTGCATTTAATTAGATTGTGGATATATATATATATATATATCCTCCTGTTTGCATCAGCAATTCCCTCGACCTTTGAATCTGACAACTTTGAAGGACTGTTCGTACTTTTATAGAAAAAATCTTACTTGTCCAGTACACAAACTCACAGCAGTTGTTCCAACACTTTCGGTTTCAGGTATGCAGGTGTCTCCAGATTGCAGGCAGTGACCAAGCTGATTGTGATAGAGGCGGCTTCATAGGTAAATATAATACCGAACATGGTCCAAAACACATTTGATTCGTGGGCCGGCAGACAGAGAATGTCTTCACCATGTTCCTTGAGTTTTGACAGTCCCGCTGGTAACCCCACGACAATCAGAGGGGAAATCAGACCGATCGTCCAGATCCACAGACCATTGATCGCAAAATTACCCAGCACAAAGCTGCGGAATAAGGTGAGCACCTCACAGAATTGCCAGCTCGAGGACAACACGGCACTGAGATGCAACAGCAGTCCGGCTGACACACATGGGATATGTCGTTGCTCGGTGTATGGCACGCTTAACAGAACCGCGTGCAAAACTACATACACTGCACTCAGAATGCAGCGAATCGTGTAGGGGCCTTTGAATGTTGTTTTGCGGAGGAACATGATTAGTATGAATGTGAGTAGGAGAGAGCATACAGCGGACAGTCCATTGATCGCAACCAATAACCCCTCTATCCAGCTCGCGTGTTGCAACTGTGAGCTTGCGCCCCAAGCCATCCAAATTGGCCTCCTGCGTCCCGGTGCATCTCGGGGCTCCATCGCCACGGCGAACACACCGAGGCAGTTGCAGGCACATCGCACGTGCGATCTGTTGGCACCAGTAACAAAGCAGCACGCGTCATCCCACATTTCTCTCCCATCTACATATGTTTCCCAGCGCACACAACGCACAGGATATGTCAATGGCCAGCTCCCCTTTCCCTCCACTTTTTGCTCCATAGTGGATTCTAACGCTTTCCATCGCTTGCGACCGGTGGTTCGGTAGAAGTAGGTTGCTTCATGCTCATTTAGTTCAGACAGCTCTATGACGAATTGCAGTATTGTGTCATCTAAGTTCTTTGTGCCCATCATGTTCTCCGGGTTAGCGTTGCACACAAAAACCGGACTTTGAATTTCCAACTTCGACGCAGATTTCCGAACGGTCAAAATAGCTTCTTCGGCTTCGGTGTTTGGTGTGAATATAGAATTTTTGTAACCCTGTAGTGTCCGTTCAGAAAACTGTTTTCTCTTCAAGCCTCCGGCTACCAAGATATCTGTCTTGTTGGCCGCCGGGAACCCTAACAAAGTCACCACACCAATTTGAATTGTATTATTTTGATGCACATCTCTTCTAATTGTAAACACGGCGTGACCTAGATTCTTGGAATGTATGTGGCTTTGGCTCTCGAGATGGATAACTGCGGGTGGACAAGGCGATTTAAAGTTTATCATGAGTATAGCAGCAGTTCCGCTACTCGTATGTACACTGCAGTTTAGGTGATGCTCTTCAGGCGTTAATGAAGCTGAACCGATTGCCTGCATCATCCCACTAGCACTTGATGTGAGATCATCTGCTCTGATTGCCCCCTGTTTGGGCAATTCCCTCCATGCATCCTGCCACCTAGACGAGGAAGTGGAGACAGCGACTTTCATCAATAGCTGAATAAAGCGATCTTTTTCCAGTTGAAGTTCTCTGCAGTGAAGGGAATCCCACGATTCACATGCCAGCCGAAGAGCGTGGGGCCACCGCCTCATAAACACAAGTATTGACTTGATAAGCGTCATTTCATTCTCCAGCAAAAATTTCGTTTGGTCTTTTTCCTCGTACTCCTTCACTAGGTCGAGACCGACACTTAGAATACGATAAAAATCCTTGGGATCCACCAAAAGATTCGCCTGCTCCGCCATCTTCCGGAAGTTGCCCTGCAGAATAAAATGTATCCAGTTTATCTATCGATCATTTCCTCTAAACGTTAACACATATTGAACACTTCATAAATTGCTTGCGTAGACGAATTTCTTCGTAATAGTTATGAAGGTAGGCGGAGTGGCGATCGCGCACCGCTGATTACGTTGATTTGTGTGGTTACTGAGACTTATCATCATCAACAGCGGTTTACATCCATAATGAGTGGTAATGCGGGAGAATAAATTCAGAAACCGAGCTTAGCATTGGTCATAAATGCCCCCAAGGAAACGTTCATTCTTAAGAGGATGCAAGTTAAAACAGCTGCAACCCTGTTACATTAGTTAACTTTGAATAAAATGTGTTTCCTTCTTCATGCTCCAGTGGTGTTTGTCTAAGACGATTTGTGCTTCAATGTACGAATTTTTCGCTATACTTTCAATCACGCGGCTCGCAGTTGATTCAGTGTATTTTCTCCTTTGGTGTCACGCATCTTGTTACTGTTCGGAAACACTACAAAAACTCATTTCGGTTACCGTATGGTGATATTAGACTATTGGCCTGTAATGTCATAGGGACCGGTCGTTTCCCCGTCGTCCATAAATTTCAGTAACTAGACAGCTGTATTAGCGCCTGTGGATTCGAAGACGCGGTCGCGAACCGTATAGCGAAAGTTGGGAAACTTTTGCCGCCACCACTTTGCGACCACCTGTATCGCCTGCTCGACATCATTCTCGCCCTGAAGAGCAGTGTTTACAATGCATCCGTCCACTCAACCCAAATATACGGTTATGGAACCTGGCCCAATTAGATCGACAGACTTAAGGAGGCTGGTTGTGTTCAACTATCACTGCCTTCGTAGTTTAGCTCATGTCTGATAAGAACACAGCATGAGCGTGCTGGGCGTGGTGTATTTGCTACCGGGAGCAACTAAACCGCTCAGCATCGTTATTTCACGCACCAAGCTCCGATGGTTGGGTCACGTGTTGCGCATGCCAGACCGACTCCCGCAACGTGCGTTGTTTGCGCTGGGTGTGTGGATGGAAGAAGAGGATGGACCTCAACCGATGACGGTCAAGACGAGTGAAGGCTCCCACTTTGAACTTAGCGTCAGTTGGTGTCTACAGACTGCCGGACTGGAGTCCGGAAGATGATGAACACGTTTGGTTGGACCTACTAGTTAACATTGCGAGGAGCCGTACTCAATAACGTTTGTGCTATGAGTTTCTCTGTCTCTCCCTTTCCTACTTATCTTTCCCCTCTAACTGTGATCTTACACCCGAAACACAACGTGATATTTAACGTTATATTAATTATGACGTGTTCCTTACCATAGGTTAACCTTTAATGATGTTGATGATGATGATTTCACCGTTGCAAGGTTTTAGTTCCCCTTATCGTGTTCTAATGCTGCTGGGCTGGACCTAATCCCAGTTCTCGGTAGCAGTGCAGGATGCTGAAGAGTAATTCCTTATTGGGCTTACCTGTAGCAGATCGCTTTTTGCATGTACCACTATACCATTAGAGATCAACATCCTTCGGGTGTTTCAAAGATCATTTGGTGTATCGGAATATGCAGTCGTCTTCTAAACGCCTGGTGTCGATATATCCCTGACTCCACCGTAAACACTTATGATCCTGTGAAGCCATGTAGCGATGATTTCCACAAATAATTTTGATGTTTTCGTATCTGAAGTACGGATTCAGAGATCCATGGTTTTCCTGATATTCAGTTTCCTAGTCGCGATTACCTACTTATGAGCCTAGTGTGATGCGATTACTTTGTGGCCTTTGCGGTCACATTTACCAGACAAGTTCATCAGGTTTTCATTAATCCGAATTGCCTTCTCGAATGTCTTAGGTTGTTGCTGTCATACATATGATCCAGGATTCCCATACCAGCTGAGAGGCGAATCTGTATAAACCGATTCAGTATATATCTGACCCGACGGTGGACGGGTCCAATCCCTTACCCCCGAATCCATTTATCAACGGTTCGAGCCTGCATGACTGCAGGCGGTCTCGCATTACCCCCACCCTACATGGAACTGCCGGTGGTTGCGTTGCAACGAAGTGTCGGTTCGATGTGTTAACATCCTGCTTATACTTAAACTGCAGACACCATACGGATATCGATTCCTCGGAATAACCAACTGTATTGCGGTACGGTAGCTGCGTTAAACTTTTGCGTGACTCCTCGCTGAGAGGATGCACTATGAACGAAGATTTTAGAGGTACTTTTATTTCTCTCTTAGCAGTATTGCGCAGCAGTTGGGAACTCTCAGAATAGTTACACTGCATGTGCTGGCGCTTGGCCATAATCGGCTACCAGTTGGTGACTTAAACGGCTTTCGAACCTATCCAGAAGATGCTTTATACGCTGTTCGGTCGTATCAGTAGTATTTTGGCAAAGTAGCGTCAGACCACCACAGAACTTTCGCACAATCAAACTTCATGGTCGTATTTCCGTGCGCTTATACTCTATTTGATGTTTTTCCATTTTGTAGGCGATCGGGATATTCTCTATGAGCCTACTAGATTTTTGGATGGCCATTTACCCGACATCGTTCTTTGATAATAAGGCTAGGCCAGGGTAGGCTTCGATTTATGGGGATATAGCTCGACGCTCTTTAAATGAAACGGTCACTAATTGACCTGGCTCCAGTTGAAGTTGATTTCATCCACAATGATTTAGTGCTATCTGTGAGATAGGTCAACATGGTCTTCCCTTTAACAGACTACGATCAGTTATGCTCCGGTACTCACCACGGTCGGGTCCAAGCAAACTGCTCCGTAAGCGTGCTCGCAATCGCCTATATGGGTGCACGTCGTAGTCTCTGGCAGTGTCGGGTCGGTAAGGCACTCACCAAGCAGCTTCCTTTTTGTGCTACGTGGTCCGAAGCAGGTAGTGGGGTTGGATGACCAGTAGGCTGAAATCAGAGAAGTAGATTATGACTCAACAGTATCGCGGGTGCTGTTTCAACTAACATCGTGTTTCTCCGCAGTCTGTTTAGATGACTTACCGAAGTTGTGGATTAAACCGTTTATGAGTGGCTCCGCGATGTTTCCGCCGTTGCGTTGTCCTTCAGCATATGCTTTATTGAAATAAAGCCGCCCTAACGTCAGATCATGTTGAGGCGGTCTGGAACTCCGACGGGGCCGACTGGAAGACTGCTTTCTTGTGCCGTTTATGTAAATCTCCAGATTGCCTAGTCTATCTTCACTGGCGCTGTTCCAATGAACTGCCAAGTTCACCCATTCACCCAGTTGTATCACGTTCCGCGAATTTAGTGACCACTTTTCTGAGCCTGCATACACTCTAATGGCCAGATCCATTTTTCTCGTGTGGTTGCCCGTCACCTTTGAAGTTACATTCATGGTAACTCCACTCCTTCCTGGTAATCCAGTTGTAAACAAAACCGCACTCATCTATAATGCCACGATAGGATAAAAAGTGATAAGTTCACTTTGTATGTGGTGGACTAGAAGGTGGGGAATGATAATCAATCAAGCCAGTTAACACTTTGAACATAACATATCATGCCAAATGTATCACTTAGCATTCCATATCTCGCCGAAGTAACTATCGCCTTAGCAATGGTGAGTCGTGCTTTCATCATAGTGACCGATTCTCCACACAGTATGCAGCTTAGCTTTAGTGCACGAATTGCTTGGAGCCAACCTGTGATGCATCGTAGTAATCACTGTACTCGGCAGTGGGTATGCTGTTTACACCAGTCCGCCTTCCACTAGTGGAACGTCAGTTTTAGTCAGTCCGACTACACGTTGGCATAGCTTTTTCTGGCCAATTTTTATATACTTGGTAACAATGAACTACGCGTCTGTATTTGTGAGCAAACCCATTATCCGTGCTTGGAGCACCGATTATTTCAACTCGCTGCGTTTGGCTATCAACAGAAACGTAAAAATGAGGACTGATTTCGCAGTGCACCCTTCCGTTAGCGCGTTTCAATTGCACTGTCAGGTTTTTGGTGATGAAAATGCTACATGGGCCACCTTAGAGACATCACGTGTTCAGCCATAGTACCGAACAGTTAGACAGCGGATATCCATTGGGAATCCACATGCGTAATGGACTGCCAATAGTGACAAGGCAACTTGCTCTCCGTAAGTATATGTAACCTGCATGTCACGGTAAGACTTACCGGAGTAGGTGTCTCCACTGGGTTTTTATCGTGACTTGGATCATACAAAGCATCTATCCTGACCCAGACGGAGACAGTGAACTCATTGCTGGTGCATTCCTTCGGCCTTAGGAAGCAAGGGGCTTTATCGATTTTGATGGGAGAAGCTAACTCGACAATGCGCGTTGCCGAATTCGGCAATCCGAGATGATCCGGGTGCTCTCCTCGGAAGTCGATCAGCAGATCCGTATCCGTGTAGCAGTACGTGCTCAACCCACTCCTTATGAAATTTTCCGCATCTTGTCCCGCTGGGACGTCTAGTGTCGACACATCGGAAACGCATACTGGAAAGCCACGTCCGATGTACATGTGGTGGTTAATTTTCGCGATCGAGCTGAGAGGCAGGTTCATCTTCGTTTGGGTGACTGTCTTCTCCATTGCTCCGATTACACTGTCTCCACTAAGAACTTTTAACCCTTTGGGAGTGTATATGATCTCGAATTTATTCCACTTATTGATCTGTACCTGGTCAATCTCAACATAATTGGTCATTGTTACGAATTCAGTCCTCACTGTGATCACCAACACTCGTGTGTCTGCGGAGAGCGTAATGTACAGTCCCACTAGGTCGGACTGCGAGTCCAATGGCGTAGAACGGAAGAGCTCGTGCTCAAAATCTCCACTTTCATTGTTGTTAAATGGAAACGGTCTTCGTTTGAGCTCCATACTGAACACAAATGATCCGCACGGTGTGGGGTTCACCACGCAGGCGTCCACTAGATTTGTTCCTCCAACCGTGTCCACTGCGTCGCCCATCAGTGCGATGTACGAATGCTCAGTGCTGTCAGTACATAATGCTCCGTCTTGAGCGTCATACTTGTCTAGCGTGTAGGTGACACCACTATGTCTCAAGCGTCCGGGGGTTAACTCCTTTAATAATCCGCTGAATGGCCAGTAGAATGTGGACGCTCGCATATTTAAATATTGTGGGTACTCCAATCCCATGAGTTCCATCAAAGATGAGTCTGCAAGCACGCGTGACTTCATAGCCACGATAGCCACTGCCATGGTCCCTCCAACTGAGCTGAGTGAGGTAGAGGAGATGAGCAGGTACGCCGATCCGGGGGTATTCGTGTCGGTATACAACTGCGCAGCACGTAAAGCAGCACCGTGGGCCCATTTCGACTCCGGATTTTGATTATTTTCCTTTAATTGCGCACATTTGGCTCTTATCCTCCCATTAATCGCAATGTGAAGCGTATCTGTTCTACCATCCGTAGACGGCTCCCAAATCAATGCATAATGGATCCATTGTAGGTTGGTAGTACGTTTTACTAGCTCCTCAGCGATCGTGGTACACCAACATCCGTGCTTGAGGTCTGCATGTTGTGTTTCTGTTGCGTTCGGCACAACCCACGCGCTCACCTCGTGCCCGTTTTGTTTGGCAGCCATACCGAACCTGCCATTAGCTCCGGTGAACAGAATTATCGGCTCTTCCGAATCCCGATCCGCACCGAATTTCGGCCTCCCAATACGGATCCAGGCACCAATACTGAGACCCTGAAAGGAAAGAGAGCACACGTCGATGAGGGTGGATTAAGCTCCAATCTCTCAAATCATAAGTAAACTTCGATCGAGTTCCCTCACTGAACATTGGTATCCTTAGATCAACGTGACTACAGTTGCGATGTACAGGACGACTGCGTTAATACAATGATTACAGAGAAAACCTTTGCAATGAACACAAAGCTTCACGATGATTCTGCACTTGTAGACGACCATAGTTTCAAAGCAATTTCTTAACTACTCTGGATATTTGTTCAGATAACAAATGTTCCGGTACAACGTAGCATAAGTAAATATAAGATAGTAGTTACCGCACCATTACAGCTGACACCATAAGACTGAACGTCTAGTTACGTAACAATGCAGCATACTTGTCCACTGGCGTTGTGGACTCTTGCGATAATTTGAAGCGGAACCGGAAGTGACTAAGCACGTGTAAAAGACTGCTGCACACTAACCAGGGTTGCGATGTTCATTTTATTTTATCTGATCGACTTTATTCCGAACATGAGTCACCACCACGCTTATCGTCAATCAACCTCGGCTAGGAGCAATACGTACAACACAGACACGCAGAAATTTGACTTCATGGCGGTTGGAAAAATTCAGATGCCGAACGAAACGATTAAGATTGCGACGAAAATGGCCAAATTCAACGTCTTATCTGCTGCCGAGCCATTTCCCAAAAAGTCCGCGACAGCTAATATGCGTGCTCTCATGACGCAGTTTAACTATGCGTACCAGTCACATTGAGCTCATCGATCGATCTCAGTGGCTAGTCACGCTGAGGATTCGCTCAGTTAGTCACAAAAAAGCTTTATGTAACCAAATGCGTTCATTTTCAGCGTTTACACCATCACTGCGGACACCTGGATGATAATACCAATATGTTTGAGTAGAAAAATGGAAAGAAGCAGAACTGTTACTCCAACAAGCGCTCGCGCAGCATGTGTGTGACTCGCTGGGTCAACAAGCAATCGTGAGAGATAAGGCAAAACAGTATTACGATATGATGACGTGCTTGAGAACAAAATTGAATTTTTTACGGGTAGAAGAGAAAGTGAGCGTTTAGGAAAGGTCATTGTGCGGTGGATAAAATCAATCAGTTAGTACCTTAGGAGAAAAATCATTGCAGGCGCCAAGATGTCTAGAAATAATCAAATCAACTAAAGAATCTAGACAGGCCGCTGCATCTAGCAATGTGCTTTATAGACCGAACCAATAAGATGTAGTCTTTCTGAAGCAGTCCAGGGAAAATGACAGAAGAGCAGTATAGCCAGTGGGAAATAATACAAGAGGTCACAAACCTGAATATTAAAATACGAGGTACTGAAAGCACCTTAAGTCTGAGGGCACAAAAAGAAAGGTTTCTGACTTTTTGTAAAGTTACAGACGTGTGCGGACCAAGAAAGGTTCTGGGACAAAAAGCGCAGAGATACTTGAGGGTGGAATAGCTGGATATAGGATTTTCATTCACAGTAACTGTGGGGGAGAAAGCTACTAGGGACTGCAACTTATCGTCACATAGAAAAGAAAATATTACATCTTTGCATTTAGAAACATTAAGCATGTGGGATCTGGATGAAGGCCATTTCACCAGATCTTCCAACCCACTTGAAGTGATGAGGAATCATGGTTAATCGGGGACATACATCCCAGCACAACATCATCAGCATATTTGCACTATATAAACGTGGTTTGTATAGGGAGCTGTTCAACATACAAGGAAAATAGCAAAGGTGATAGGCTCGCTCCCAGTAGAACACCACAGTGGGCACGTAGGACAAAGGATTTCTTACCGTTCAACTTGGTGAAGTGAGTACGGTCCGTAAAATAGTCACGTAACAGATTACACACACCAGGGTAAACTCCATTTTCGGACAGCAGGTTTAGCAACCTTAACCTATCCAGGCTTCCAAAGGCATTCGAATAATCCAGAAAGAGAAGCCTTACGGATTTACATTTTTGAGCTAATGCAGAGGCTACAGAATGCCACTGTATCCAGTGTGGAGCGCTGGGGTCTATACACGAACTGGTAGATATTGTCTTCAGGAACGGCTGAAAAAACCCGCGGAATTAACAATCTTTCGAAAACTTTTAGGAGCGCAGATCTACATGCAATTGGACGATGCTTTTGAGATCTAGCTTTTGCTACTGGAGTAATACTGGCCGCTCTCCAAATGTCCGGGATCACACCCGTAGTGAGGCACTTGTTAAAGAGGTCTGTTAGAGGCATTGCGAGAGAATCAGCACACTCCTTCAAGGCTAAGCGTGAGAGAGCATTAGGACCACAAGCTTTTGTTGCCTTTAATCTTTTGAGTTCCTTGTGGACGTTACTTCAATGGAAGGGCGCAACTGGACTTGAGCTGATGAATCAGGACAAGGAAGATGAGCTTAGTGAGGCGGAACTAAACTCCGAATTTAGTTTATCCACATCCTCTTCACCTCTCCGGCTGCAAACGCTCTTATCACAGAGCTGCCTTAGAAACCACAGTTATGGTTGCCTAGAACTGCTCCGAAGTAAAATTGGTTTAGTATTATTTTTTATCTCGGATTTAATTGCCGTGGTTAGGCTTTTGACACGGGTAACATTCTTGCACTTGTAGGCCCATTCTTTCATCCTTCGAAGTCGTTTTAGTAGTGCTAAGGAAAATGTTTCTGCTCTTAGATCGTTTCAGCAAGGCAACACATGTAAAGCAATATTTGATGTAATCCGTTAGTTGGTCACATTCGAGCGACAGGTCCACGTCGTGGAAGACCGGAAAATCAGTTAAAGGAAACATCGTCTGGAGCCTCGTGTTATTTTCCAAGGAGCAATTTCACCGTTTGATAACCTTGTAAGGCCGTCTGGTCAGCGTTAAAAAGTTAGACCTGCTGTAGATGACTGGACAAAGTTTTAAACTACGATGGTCTGAGCTGCTCAAAGGTGCCCGCTTTTGTGTGGCAAATAACTGTCTTTTAGTTGTGAACACAGCGTCCAACTGAACATCTTGTCTGGTCGAAACAGTCACTAGGTCTACCAAGCCAAGTGTTTTCAAAAACGTTGTATCCTTTCTATTGAAGTCGCCAGCAACAATACAGATAGAACAGTCTAATTTAAGCAGTAGCGTTGAATAAAGTTGGTCTACAAAAAGCCTTAACTCGGAAGCGGATGTGTCAGGAGCAACGTATACGTTTCCGACCATGACTGATCGAAAACCACTTAGGAACTTCGGTTTGCACTTAACTAAATGGCGGCTTATAGAAATGGTTGAATACATAAATATTATGATTGCTGCGTTGCACCAACGCTGATTGACGTAAGTTACAACGTCAGCACCACGGAACTGGGGCTTTCCGGGGCGGTCAGACCTGATGGGAAAATGAACATCGAGTTGAATCACCCAATTTTCCACATCAGCATGCAACCACTTTTCTTGTAAAAGAATAATTCCTGTATTAACCTACTCATTTTATTCCATAATGGCACTGAGCAATTTTACCAAGGTACGAGCGAACATTACTGGAAAGTATCAGTGGGACTTGCGCTTTGTGGACAAAACAACGACTGAGGCCGCGATGCTTGCGCTTTTTTCTAGGACATTTATTCGTACTACCTTTGCAAGTGTTCCCTACGTTATGGCTGTATTTGATAAGGCACGAATTTAAGGCAATGTCTCGTAACATTTTCAAATGGCTGACGGAGTGGGACAACATTGACCTTGAGACCTGATCAGAAGAAAACAAATTGCTCCAAAGTTAAAAATACAATATAGAATCGGCAGTCTGTGGTGTAAAGTAATCCAAGGAGAACAGCAACGGCCGAATTTGAAGACCCTGCCTTTGGCCCGGCGCTAACACATCCCGACAGAGGTGACAACATGTTAATAAGTGTAGGGAAGACAACGTTATCGGTGCGAATTTAAACGAATAACTATTGGTCATTGAAGATGCCCATAGAGATGTAAGCATTCAATATAGCTAAGGTTACTTTTCTTTAATTCGCATCAGGCGATTACATATATAAAACAAGTTAAAGCATTGCAATAGCCTATGAAAGTTCGGCTATGGTTGGTCAATTTCAGACAGGCTACATTGTTCGTCGATCAGACTCTCCAATCGATGGTGGTGGTAACACATATGCACACAAAACAAGACGGTTCGTCCGTCCGATGGGAGAACAAGGACAACTGAGTCAGCGTCTGTGGATGAAGTGAACGGTGCCCACACTGTGATCACGTCCACGGTAGCAGAAGCATTTGCAATAGCGTCCTATTGCGGCATCAGAGAGTTAGTCAACAAACTCCAGCTAACGAACCTCCGCATTTGTCACTCGATAAACGGAACGGAAATAGTGGATGCTTCGAACGCACTGATGGTAATATTGGTCGCACTGCAACATTGCACATCCTTCTCTCAACCAATGGAACGATGGTTTTATACGGGTAAAAAAGCTAGAGTTTAACACGTCCCATAGGATGATAGTGATGAAAGTTCAGAATATAGAGGAATTGTCAGCAATATTAGGTTTACACCGGTGGACTCACTGCAGAATGCGTAGCATAAACTGTCCAGTGTAATCCGTAAGGAAGGACAACAGATGAGACGGTGACAAATCGTATCGCCTCCTGGTGAATACATAAGGGAGGTGCAAAAGGTGGAACGTTTTCTGGGACTTGACCAGGCCCTTGACTTCATCAGTGGGTAATGAGTCATGTGAGATGGTGCAACAAATTGAGTGCACGGTCAACTCGAGCTTTGAACTCTGCTGGATGACAGATTCCGATAGAGCATTCCACGTTTTGCAAACGCGCACGGAAAAGAAATTCCGACGGCATTCCAAACGGCTGTGCTGCTCTGCCAGCTTGAGATGGTGGCTTCTCAAATTGCTGTCGTGACTGAGCTCTAGCAAATGCCCGCACGTGTAGTTTGGATATCTCCAAATCTGGTAAGTTAGAATGAGGTCCCCGCGCAATCGCCGAGATTGTCCGCTGAAGATCCCGAGCAATCGAAAC